TAGGGAAGTGGAGAAAAGGAAATGCTATTGTTTAGGAGGGGAGAGTTGCTTGGGAAGGAGAATGTTGTAAAGGCTATATGTAAGCTTTATTGTCTTTTTTGGTTAATTAATTAGATGGTTAATGGCTTTTAGAATTGTACAAATCCAACTCAACCAAGTTGGAAGGGACATTCTTGTGAAATTTTTGTATTATATAAATGTAATTGGGATGTCCAAATCAAGATTCAACTCCCTGCTCCTTGTTTTATAAGTTAATGATGATGCAGGTACACGTTATATAATTCATGGGTTGGGCACAAGTTGACTAATTTACCTACTAGTACCCCTTATTTTTCTTTACCGCGTTGTGTTTGGCAAACTTCACGAAGTTGCGCCAGTTTCATGATTGACTTAATTTTATGCTAAACCAGTATTTTTTTGGACTAGCTACCCGTCGAAAAGAAAACTAATTTAAGGTCATTTTTTGATCTATGAAAACAAGGCCAGATCTGGCCTCGTTATTTGCCAACAAAAAGTATTTCAGAACTCGGCCAGGTTTGAACCTAGTCTAGTTTTGAAAGATTGCCAAATACACCTTTAAGATTTGTTGGATTTGCTGCAAAAATAAATTGAAGCAAATGTTGCATGCAACTTGAGAGAATATTTGGGTGAACCCATATCTAAATTCAATGTTACATTGAAAACCAAGTGGTGCAAAACTTACATGGTTTGGTTTAAATTGGACTATAAAACTGTTATTGGATGAATTGGAATCTATTTTTCAATTTCCTTTTGGGAAGCTGTGCTCTTTATTTCCCATCAAATTAGTTGTAACATTTGTTGCACCCACTATAACAAAAACGACATGTGTCCATACTTATTTTAGGACACATAAATTGTCATTTTATTTACAAAGGATTATTCAATAGTGACACAAATAAAAAATATGATAAATCATGACACATATATATGTTATTAGATATACATTAAAATAAAACTGAAAAAAGGCTAATAGTCTCACATTGATTGTGTGAGGATCTACTGATGGACTTAAATAATAAATTTTAGATATTGATAATTAAACATTCATGATTGTGTATAAGCTAAACAACTTCATAGCTAAGTGTACTTAAGTTGTAGTATTAAAAGGTTATACTCTTTGTATTTTTATGATCTAGACATAATTATATATCACCACTCTCTACATATATATGTGTCGTGAGTTTTACGACACATCTATGTATCGCAAATTTCACGACATATGTATGTGTCACAAGTTTTGCGATATTTTGGGTGAACCCATCGTCGTTTGACCCTTCATCCACTTGTATTAATTTTAACGGTTACGAATGAATAGAACTTTTTATATGGCTCGACGGAGGGTCAAACCATGACGGGTTCACCCCAAATTAGATTTGTTGGGGTTTTAGAATATGTAGATCAAGTTTAACGGAGCGGATCATCCACAATGTAGCTCAATCAAGTGATCATCAATATATAGAAAAAGACAATCTACTCACATACTTTACCTACACTTTTGATATATCGCACTCTATTTGTACGACACAGAAAAAGATGTCGTGTGGAGACCAAAAAAAAAAATATTATAATTTATAACTATTGTAGTGACCTTTTTTCTACAGACTATAAACATTAAGCAAATTAAACATGGAAAATACAAATCTTGTTGCAATATTTATTTTTGCAATTGTATGTCCAGGCAACTAAACAACCCTATGAAATTAATAACCGCTAGTTTTCAAAATAAGCTTTATCTTTGCTCAAACTCTGTGATTATTTCTCTTCTAAACATCCTCTCTAGCTACCATCGGGTCAACGTAATTTCTTTGAAGACTAAATTTAAATTATTATTTTTTATTTATCATAGTTTTGTCCCTAATGAAGCGTCATCATAGTACTTGTGCATTGATATCGTAAGCAAGCACTGCACGCTTAGTATAATTGATGAAACTATATACACATTCCCTTACCATAATATGTCAGTTGAGTTATTGGCCTGTCACCACGTACCAAGCCCACATTGACATTGAATAATATGCGTACTAAGCATTGCTTTTCTTAGGAAAACAGTGTTGGATTTAATCTAATAAATCTATATTTATGGGCACATATGATTAATCAATGTGTATTGCTATCTTTCAGGATAACCCACTAAAGTGATCAATTAAGTTAGGTTAATGAGTATTTAAATATAATCATGGGGTTATATGTGCAGATACCAGGTTGTAATTGTGATTTATTGAGGGGCTAAATTACAAAAGTACAACATCTATAAATAAGGGGTTATGGTCCCTAACCTAGGGTTACATTCTCTAATTCTCTTCACCCCCATCTAGAGAGAGAAATTCGGATTTAGAGAAACCCTAAGGTTAGAAGATCCAAAACCCATCTCAAGGTTCATCCATGGATTCAGGTATAAGCTTCCGCTCTTTTGATTATTGTTAATCTCTTTGAATTAATCATGACTATATGGTTTTAGATCTCAAGTTTTGGTATAGATCTAACAAACAGTTGAAAATTAAGGTTGAGATTTATTTATTTTTTTTGGTACAAAATCGAGCCTAGCTATAAGGTAAACCCACCGAGCAAAAAGACCCATGTGAAAACACGTGAGGTTTCAACAAGATCCCCACAAGGGGTCAAGATTCAAGATTGGAAGCAACGTTTGGAGAAGAAGCAAAAACTCTTCGAGCATTCTTATATCCTCTACCTACCTCAATAATTTTGATTTTTGTTGGCTCTATCCGCAACATTTTTAATGATAATTAAGCAATTGTATCACAAAGCCCAAGGCCTGATCCGTCCGTGCAATAGATCTACTGAAACCTCCCAACCGTCCGGATTACCCATGATACACTTTAAAGTATGCACATTCTGCTGCTGAAAATCAAACCTACTCCTTTTATGTTAAAACATTGTTAGGCAAAATACTTGCTCCTTCGTTTTTTTTTTTTCCTGGCCCGGGCTTGTTTTGTTTACTTTTAACAAACTTTGAGTCACTCTGCACTTTTTTAAGGAGTTAGTTGTTCGAATGGAAAAGAACTTGCGTTGACGTTTACTGTATACAGATTTTCGATTTTGAATGCTCTGGTAATTCTTTTCTATTTAAACTCTCATGATAGATACATTAGGCAAAACATCCAACACTTAAGCTATTCCATTTTAGATAATTAAAAAAATTAAACATAAAAAGTTTAAAGACAAGATAGACAACCTAGCTAATTAATGAATTGCTTACTTTAATTCTTAATAATTTCTGGGTCCTAGTCAAAAGTTTTCTACAAAGATATTTGATTGGGTGGCACTAGGGGCACACTCCCAACCACACCTTCAACCATACCTCATTTCTCATTTGCTACAGTGCACCGGGCTCCACATGGGATTTTAAAATTTTAAAATCCCATATGAGGCCCGGTGCACTGTAGCAAATGAGAGAGGAGGTGTGGTTGGGGGTGTGCCCCTATCATTTTCCTATTTGATTATTCGTATCATGGCCAAATTATTGGATAGAGAATTTGTTTGTGAACAATCATCGACCTAATATTAATGAAACATGCTGTTTTTGAAATGGACAAACGGCCTTCACAATATTTTTTTAGGCGTTGTATAGAATTTAGATCATATTGTATAGAGCAAAAAGCATACAGTTAAATGATCAAATATTAAATCTACACATCTATATCTATATCTATGATGTTGTATTAAAAAACCAAGCAGGGTTAATTCATAAAATGTATGAGTGGTGGATCGACGTGCTCTCTTCCTTATTATAGACTAGCATTAATTATTGCACGTGCAGCAGATAAGAAAACTTAATCATCCCAAAATTTATATGAAAGGGAAATTTACACTAAGTTTCATTGAGTAATTAATAAAAGATATTCTTACTATATTTTTCCATTTGAGATGAGTTATTTTATATTATCTTATTTCAATTAGCTATGATATATATTTCGATTTGAGTGATAACGTGATTTTCTCAAAAGAAAATAGGGTACATCATAATTTGGTGGATTGTTTTGTTTATTTATTTATTTATTTATTTGACATGATCTTAAGAACGCTTAAATTAAGTTACTAAGAAGAGTGTGTTTCATTTTTTATCTTCAAATTGCTATATTTAATTATTTCTAGCCTAAATGTCGATAATATTTAGATTAGAACATAGCCCAATTGTTGTATTTACATCCATTTATATCTAATAATTATTTAAAAAAAGAACCTTTTTATTCAATATCTATATCTTTTAAAACACAAAGAGTGATAGACATTTCATTAGTAAGCTCTAATTATATTCATGTCATAGTTCTGAATGTTCTTAAAAAAGACAATAGAAAATAAAAGGAAAAAATACCTTCCCCGCAAAATTACCTATATATCCCTCACGTTTCTATTGGGTTGTAAAATATCCTTCAAATTTTTGGTACATCCACTAAGGTTTTAATATAATAATACTAGCATTGAGCTGGGCAAATGCACGTACAATAGACATTAAACTTATTTATTCTAAATTTTATATAAAAAGAGTTGATCGCATTAAATATCCCCAAAGTTTGATCTTTTTAAGTTTTATATCCTAAAGTTTGAATTTGCTCAAAAATACACCAATGTTTCTAGGATAAGATTTTTAAATATATATATATAATGATTGTTGATGTTAAATAATCAAACAGTCAAATATATGGGGGTGAGGTTGATTAGGGGTCTCTCACTTCTCCGAATATCTGGTTTTGAGTTGAGTAACTTCTTCCTGCACAAGTAGCAACTCGTGAGAGAAAGGGCTTAGTTCCCCCGTTAACGTGTACTTCAACGATCAAGTCAACTGATGAACTTGAGTGAAAAATTAAAGAAATGTATGAGTTTTTTAGTGTAGTGTAGTATATTTCTCAGATATTGCTTTGAAAAATAGCCTGCTCAGAAATTGCTAGAAAAGAACCATTTTCAGAAAAAGATCCCC